ACTGAAAACCAGTACATCTGACAAGAGTATTCTGGATTGACTCCATTAATATATAAATTTATCTAAATATTTCTCAGTGGCCAGGTATGCAACACATTTTTCGACAAATGTACAATAAACTACAACGTCATCAAAGCTGCTGTGCTAACCAGTCGCTAGAATCTGATGTGTTTTTTTATTTCACTCATAATTGCATAGAATTCACTGCATCAAATTAAATTTGGTCACAAGACCTTTATATATTAGCACTTTTAGCATTCTGTGTTAGGGACAGCACTGCCCTGTGAGTTGTCCTGAACTCTAAAGCTGTTTACTAGAATGGTGGTCAACACATGAATTGCAGTTTAATTATACACCAGTATGCTAGCAATGACGCACTGGGGGTGACAGACTTGCCTTGACACTGTAACCTTGGTGGTCTGCAGAAAAATAATGACTCATTGAGTAGTTATCAGGCGCAGGCGCAGGCTTGGCGAAAACACCTTCACTACATCATACCGATATATTTGCCTGTTGATTTGAATACCCTCCAGCCACTATGGCTGAGATTTGTCCCTAGACGTCAGTTCCAAACTGGGCTCTGGCCATTGGACGACTTGAATAAAAACATTTTAACAGAAATATACTGCTTTTGATTACGACACATAAAAACAAATTTATGTGCAAACATTCACAAATAAAAGGAGCCCTATAGTAACAGCCAAGTTGTGATTTTACAACATTAGGTTTTTGTCAGACAAAAAAAGCCCAACAATTTAAACAAACAGAATACAGCAGGAGAGAAGCCTGGGGTGGAGGGTTAATATGCAGGAATAAACCAGACTTATGGCAGACAGGGGAGTTCATTGTAGGTTTCTGTCCCATGGACTAACAGACTGATGATGAGCAGCAGTATGTGGGTAATCACAGCAGTCATGCTAACTATAATGAGAGGACTATCAGGAAGACAGACAGCAGTGGTAGGGACAGGACCAATTTCACTCGTGTCTTTTTTAAATATACACTTTCGTTGAGGAATCCCTGAAAGATTCCCTGAGTACATGCAGTAGATCCTTAGCCATCATTTCCCTGCTGACATACCTGGAAATAGTTCTTCTATACGGGAATGGAGGCTGTCATTGTTACAGGTTGAGGTCCTAAAAAAGTCTTAACACAATGTTGGTTTTTCAAACTTCCTCTCAGTCATTCTGCTACAAGGTGAACTTTTAGCTGGGAATAGGAAAAGAGTGAAAATGACGCTCGTTATCTTTATGCAGCAAAGTTGAAAACATAGAGTAGGAAAAGATGATGCTTGACCAAAATACTTGTAAACCAAATAAATAAATAAAAACCCAAGCACTGCTATTTCATTTTGGTGATGTTACAGCATTTATTTGTATGGCCCATATATGGCCAGTCACATGACCATCACCACGCAATAATTTTGCTCAGACAAAATAGCAAATTTTGCACTTGTGGTATATCAAAAATAATGTCTAAAACAGTTAAACTAACTATGGATTACTGCTAATCAGAGCGCGTTTTACAATAGATTACACAGAAAATGACTAAATAATTTAGTTCACTGCCACAGAGAAGCGGCAGAAATAAAACACATCAATTCCTGAAGCTGAAATTCAAAAAGACTTGTTTTAATGTTAAATACTACGACTGATACTCTTTCACATTCGTCCAAAAGCTTCTCGCCTAAAAACACCTCCTCACACTCACAGACCACCTGTGAGCAGACACGCTGCAAACAGCTTCATTAGGCAAACAAACACAGAGACGAGTGCAAAAAAACGTAATAGAAGAATTTACTACCTTGAGTCAGGAAACTACTCCACATCATCAACAGAGACACAGCTGTCACACCTCCTCCTTCATCTCCGTTCTATCATCTGATCCATGAGCAACAGAGTGAAAACACAAATCCAGCAACACAGAAGGTGTGTCCCGCTGTAAAGAGGGAGAAACGTGTGTGTGTGTGTGTGTGTGTGTGTGTGTGTGTGTGTGTGTGTGTGAAGGAGGACGTCCAGCCCAAAGTGACACAGAGAATAAATGTGAGTCAGTGAGGTGACAATATTCAGGGTGAGAGATGATGAGGAGGAGGAGGAGGAGGAGGAAGATGATGGTGATGATGATTGCAGTCCCTGTATCTCTTCTGTACTGTGCCGCTCACACTCTCCTAGCCAGTTCTTGGCAACTTGACTCAAAAAAAGAAAAAGAGTAGGTGTAAAGGAAAGAAAAGGAAAGAAAGGAAAGGATGTGGAAAAAAGTAAACAAATGACAAAAAGAAAAGGAAAATATAGAAAGGAAAGAAGGAACGCCATTTTATTCTGGGGCTTTTAATTTATATTTGCTTGATATGATTATTTTATATCTTTCTTTGAATATTTTATATCTTTCTTTGAATATATTTTGACAAGTAAATAATAATAAAATATAATAACAAACCTACAAAAGGAATTCAGCACATTTATCATAACGTCATAACTCAAAAACAGGACTAACAGAACTATTGTTTCATGACGAACTGCTTCTTTTAGAAAACCATAATTCCCTCTTCATTCTGTTCAATTCCATCCTAACAACTGACTGGTTATGATTATTCAGCTGTATTTACAGTACTATTTCAAATTCACTTGTCCAAGTGGTCTGTATGTTAATACTTTCAATTTGAAAAAAGACCCAGTAGGAGGCAGTATTGCAAGTCACAGGATAAAAGCTGGCATCAAAAGTGAGTGTTGGGGGAGGGTGAGGATCAGCTGACTTACACAATAATGATATAACTCGAGTCACTAAATAAAACTGTTCTTTGTTTACAGTTTTTTAACAGTTTCCTGTTGTCTAGACAGGTGTGATGTGCACACATTCACTGTGGTTCAACTGACGATCAAGATCGTACATGGTTAATAAAGTACACTGAAGTAAACCTCCTACTCTCTCTATCCCTCCCGTCGTCTATATCCCCAAACACAGTCAGACACTGTGAGTAAGTGAATCTGTCATCGGCACCAGCTCAGTTTCTCCATCACACACAGGAGAATGGAGACTAATGGGACAAGTATGTCCGTCAATATCCATTACTTAGTTCATTCTGTCTGGCAGACATGAAAGGAAAGGAAAGAGAAAATGAATGAAAACTTTAACTACATCAGAAAGTATAGCAGGAGAGAAAAGAAAAAGGTTGAAGAGGATAAAGGAGAAATGTGAAGGGGGAAGAAGCCTTGAAAATCCTTGGAAGTTATTGGACTCATGTGAGTTCATCTTTTCATAGTGGCAGTGGAAATGTGAATCATGGGAATTCACTTCTTTCATTAGTGACTAAGTAGTTCTCTCTCACCCGCTCTCTCTCTCTAAACCGCCACCCTCTATGTCTGTCTGTATGTCAGTGAGAGCGTATAGTGCCGCCTTGTGGCCATAATGGTCAGACAAAATGCAACATTTATGTGGCTAAATAATTTATATATACATTGAATTCTTGGTGTTTACCTTTTTATTTTGTGAATAAGTGATAAATATATATTATTTGTTTTTTATTTGTCCTGTACACATGGACATACATGTTGGTTGGTTTATTCTTATCTATGTTCGAAATAAATGGTATTTAATTTAAACAGTTTATATGACAATTACATTAAATTAGAACAATATTGTTCAAATTTGTGTTTTTGTCATTTGAGCTAATTAGTTGTATTATCTTCAGATGTGAAGTATGAGTAGAAAAGGGAAAACATTTCCTTAATCGACTTAGTGAAGCCACACATAGATAGTTGAGTTTTCGTGTGAATATTTTTCTACGTTGTGACCACAGACTGAGGAGGAGGATGTGCTGCTTCATCTGTCCTTCTACATCACAACTGTTTACACAGGCAGTGATGTCATCTGACCCGAGCGCTGATAGGCTGCTGAATTGGCCTGTCTTATACACACACAAGCATACACATACATCCACTGCTACACCTCTCCACACACAAACATGTAGTCAAAGTAACTGGTCTGATTCTTTAC